TTGTTCATTACAAAAGGATGAAAAGGTTGAAACACTTATTAAAATATATAATAAATGATTTTAAATATCAACTTTATGTTTTTTTTTATAAAACTATATAAATTTCTAGTGCGCCAGTAGCAAAATTTTTAGTAGTGGTCCGTGGCTGAGACACACATTTTTAAGTGGTCCTTGAATCTCAAAAGGTTGAGAACCGCTGCCATAGACCACTTCCAAATCATTTGGAAAACAAAACTATTCCAGTAGTTGTTGAGTTTTCAGACACCTTTAGACTATGTTATAGTGCATACAGGGTTGGCTCTAGGTACTGGCAACATATGCTAAGATGCAATATTTTAAGTTATTTTTCTATTGAGCATTTGTACATTTCTACATCCCATTACCCACAAACTTTCTTAAAATGCAACTGGCCTAAGGGCTACAATTGAGTGTATGGCTTTATGTATCTAAATTGTCTCAATAGGTCTATTCATTTGTTGATATATTTAAATATTATTTATCTATTTATATATTTGTATGTGATGTAACTTTTTCTTCATTGTACATTCTGATGAGAGTGGCAGAACTTCTTCATGATACAGAGCTGGTCTATTCGGTTCTCTGTTCTCTGGGGATACACAACTTGCTTCCTGCAATTAGTAAGTTGCTTGTGGCACACATGTTGGCAAACCTCTCTCCATTATGGTTTATTTCACCTGATCCTCGCTTTCCCATAATCTCCTCCTATCCTCTGTTGTCTTTGCCAAACTTGACATTGAAATCACCCATTATGATGAGGATGTTCTTTGTAGGTCTGTGATTGAAAATGGTAATCAATCTGTTATAAAAGTTGTCTTTCACCTTCTTTTAACTGTCATTCCTTGGGATGTAGCATTGGATAATATCTAAGTTTATCCTCTTCTCTGTGTGGAATGAGGCTGTTATGATCTGTGGTCCATGTCTTTCCCACCTGATAAGTGCCTGCTCACCTCACTTGAAGTCAGCTGCTTCTGGTCGTAACCAGTCCATCTAGACTCGCTGATACTTAAAATGGAAAGATGGAACCTTTTTATCTCTGCTGCTAATTGCCCATTCTTCTCAGTCTCGTACATGGTCCAGAGGTTCCATTTACCAATAGTGGTGGTTGTCCTTGTGGAGAAAATGCATCATACACCTTCCAGCCGTAAGCCCATTATCTTCCAGGTCTGTGACTTCTGTTGATTTGCTGTTTAGTGTTTCTGTAGCTGGTGCTTTTTCAACAGGGTAGATTAGCTAGCTCTACACCCAATCTCCACCTTTTTCAGCCAGGCTTAGAATTCTCGTGGAGGTGTGGTGGCTGAGTGGTAAAGCGCTTGACTTCCCAGCCAGGGGTCTCAGGTTCAAATCCTGGTGAAGACTGGGATTTTTAATTTCAGGATCTCTGGGTGCCTCTGAGTCCACTCAGCTCTAATGGATACCTGACATTAATTGGGGAAAAGTAAAGGCGTTTGGTCATTGTGCTGGCCACATGACATCCTCGATAACCATTGGCCACAGAAACAGATGACCTTGACATCATCTGTGCTATAGACCACAAGGTCTGAAAAGGGAACCATACTTTTTTACTTTTAGAATTCTCATGACCTAAAGGCTGCATGGCTTTATGTATCTAAATTGTCTCGATAGTTCTATTCATTTCTTATATATATATGTATATTTATATTGACATATTTATTTATTTGTATTTGATGTAATTATGGTCTATTGTACATTTCTGGTCAGAAAAAAATAAAGAATTATATTAATAATAATAATAATGGCAATGTCTTTGATTAAAGTGCATATGTTATAATCTAATCATTACTGTTTTTATCAAATAAAATTTGATATTGTATTATTTATTAACTTTCAGAGCTTTTGTATTTTGTTGGTTCAAAGTATGTAATTACTAATAGATATGGATTTAACAAATGTTAACAGATAAGTGTCACTAACTTATATATACTTCTTTTTTTTGTTGTTGTTGTCTTTTTTAAGAAAAAAAAATGTATTACACTAGTGGTAACTTTATATCACAAACTTTTTATTTTAATTACTCTTTTAATTTATTTAAATAGTGTCCATTGTTGTTATGATGGCTGTGTTCTAGCTTGACTTTATAATATTTGCATTTGTTTTGAGTGTATATTCTTGAAATATCATTCAGTTTTTACACAATGTTCCCTTTGCACTTTAACACTCACATGTCCATTGTGTTTTCAAAGTGTTTGTTTTCTCCATCATCAGATATCAATAACTATTCATGACCTGAACCTTGAGGTGATTAAAAATAGAATCCTGCCTTAATTTTTGGATTTGTAGTTTGTATTTATTTTTATACGTGCACATGTTAGCACATGAGGCAAACACTATTTAAACACGGATTACTGGTAATTTTGTTTTTTTTAGCTCCCTTATATATTTTTTTTCCCTACCAGTTGACCTCCTTATACCAGATTATCTCTCCATGCAATGATTTCTTTAACATCTTTACATTTTATTATGCAATATTTTACTACCTTTTCATCTTTTTAGTTGATGCTAAAAACTGCTGTTGTTTTTGGTGCTGTCACATTTAAATCGGATAAACCAAAGGTGACATTAAAAATCTGATTTCACCATCACCTGCATTGTGGTAAGGTCTTCTGAAAGGGAACATATTTGCTTTTAAAATTAGATTTTGCAGTTTCTATAAAATATACACACATTTTTTAGACAAGATTAAGTTGTGAAGGGATACCAAGATGATTATACGGTTTTCACTGACACACACACACACACACATATATATATATATATTTTAAATTTAGGTCATTGGTTAATATGCATGACTAAATGCATGATGCATAGGACGTAATCATCTTCTTTTGTTTGAAGTAACGTCTGCATCATAGAAGATATAATGTTGTTGTTTTCCCATTGAATTTTTAAAACAAACAATTCTAAAAATGTTGATTGTTGATGGCAATGCTACATCGCAAGAGACTGTAATTTTTTTTTTTTTGTTATAACAAATAATGCATACTATAATCACATCTGATTCAAAAAGCAGTTCATGTTAATTCACATTGTCCTTGTGATTACAGCTGACCCACAGGGCCATCTACACAAACTCTTGTTTTAGTCTTGTTGGCATATCTATTGTTTATGGCATTTGTTGGTTTACTTTGTGGGTGTGGCATTTGTTATTTCTTTGTCAATTTTTTATTTACTTTATTTATATTGTTTTATTTATAAATATTTGTTGAACTGACATGTTTTTATTGGAATCATCATATAAAAGAAAATTCTATTGCAAAATTTTCTTAATCATTGGATCCTGGTCAGCACATTTAGATCTTTCAAGCTCTACTCATTGTACTATCACTCTGCATGTTTTTATGCCACTAATTGTAACCTAAGTACTCTGAAAAATTCCTTTTTAGAAAAGGCCATTGAAGGGTCATTTTATCACATCACTTTTTCAAGTCTTAGAGATTATTGAGAAACATTGAATAATATCAGTTATATTTTTTAAATAATTGTTCATTGAAGACTTTTATAATAGTAATGATTTATTGAGCCCTATGACTTAGGTTACTGTCTTAGCATGTGGTGGTTGTGATGTTCCTACTCTACATGTATAACTTAATGAGTTGTTGCAATTCAGTGACAAGAAGTAGGCAAGAGATATCATGTTCTCTTTTCACTTTTCCATGACATAGAATAGTTGGACAGAAATTTAAATAGAAATTACTTTCTAAATTATTTTTAGATCCTTTTATTTGTGCTTTTAAAAAATGTTTTAATTATAACAGAACTGTGCCCCTGAATCTGTATTTTTAGTTTTGTTACACTGCATTTTGTTCCATGTAAAATTTGCTCAATTTTAATGTTTAAGAGATGCACTGATAACAAGCATATTTGTATCACATGTTAGTCTTGTTATACTTGACCAAATGAGTGATACTATAGCTTTTTTTTTCCTTTATATTATTATTTTGTCAATATGCATTTGTAAATATTTTTAAATGAATCCGTCCATTTTTTTTTACTGAGAAAAGCTTTGTAAAAAACTCTTTGTAAGATGTCTAGGCCAACATGTTTATATTAGTCTAATTTGAGTGTAGCATTTGTTATTTATTATGATATGAGTTGTTTGTGATGTCTTCCAATTTATTTTGTCCTGTACACTGACTCATTCTATAATGCATCTACTTGCCATTTAGATTGTGTTTGAAGTGAATCTATTTATTTATTTATTTTTTTAGAATTTTGATATCTATTGGCGTTTTTATGTGAAATGAGATGTGGGAATTAGAGTGCATTATTTGGGCTTGGCTGCTTGACTATTCAACTGAGGCTCCTGAGTTAGCCTCCTGTTTCACAAATCCTGGGAAATCTTAAATGTTTGAGAGAATTAAGTCAGTTGGTCATTGTGTTTGTCATATAAGCCCTTAGTAATTTTTTAACTTGAATTCCTCTGCCATTTGGACTGTTAATATTGATGATTCAAAGTGCATGTGTTGCAATTTGGAGATAAAGGGATACAATTGAGCATTGAAAGGCCAGAGAGTTTATTTTACTTTGAATATGACATTCTAAAAAAAATGCTTTCTATGTTGGACTTAATATTTATGCTCTATGCACTTTGAAATATCTGAACTCCATGACATCCCTCAATATGTTGGGATGAAAAATGCTCTCTACAGTATTGAGTATAGTTGCTCCAATTTGGTCTGAAAAAAGGGCAGTAACTGAAAGGTTTGTTAACTTCTTGGCTTGAAGAAGCACTACCACTTGACAACTCAATCTTTCCTACTTTTTGCTTTTTTCTTTATTTGTAAGACTCATATTTGACATTTATTTTGACCCTCTTTGTCTAATTAGTTTTATTCTACAAGAGAATTCATCACTACTCTACTGCCTCCTACCATTCCTTACATTATCCAAATCTATGAGATAGATATATATAGAGAGAGAGAGAGAGAGATCAAAAATATGTGCAACTAAATGTTTTTTAGTTCTTTTTTTTTTTTTTTTGTAACAAAATTTTATATCAACTCTGTCTGGTAAAAAGTTTGTACAATTATTATTTTTTGGCATAGTCAAGAGTCAAGACATGAATCAAAAAAAAAAAATTCACCTATATGGCTAAATATCTAGAGTCTTGTCCCCTTAGATAATTGAAAACGTTACTTTTACCACACCCATTCAATTATTTATTGTGGTTAACAAAACATAAATCAATTACAAAATGTACCAAATAGTCAATTAATTATTGGAAATGAATTATTTTTGTTTGATATCAAATAAGGGAAATAACTTCTACATTATTGAGAGATATAATTGTAAGTGAAGACTTCTTTTCCTTAGATAAGCTTTGTTTTTTTTTATATTTTGCTTCTTTTATATTAGTACTTGAGGTTTTCTAAATAAACATTATCAATGATGTGAATGATGAAACTTATGAAATGCAAGCCCCACATAAAACAGCAGGCAGGGGATTCTTATTTGGCAATCTAAATCATGCCTGAATTACAATCATCTATACATGGTGCTGGGTTGCGTTGTGGATAATTTTCATTGATTAATTGTCTTTTACCTTGTTTTGTTTTGTTTATTTATTTAATTTATTCACTTAGATACAAGAAATTTACATTCATTAAATTATCTACTGATAATTCATTCGGTATGTGTTAAGGTTTATACTGAATTTACAAATGCAAAGTTTATAAATATAGAAGCAAACTTTTTCTATTGTTTTTGAGTTTTAAATAACTTTCTGTACCCAGTTTCCATCAACACTTAAAATAAATGTAGTGTATAATATTACAGACCCAGCTAATATTTGTTTTTATTTCTGTTTTTTCACATAAGCTTAATCACTGTACAACCATAAGCATAATGAAAAAAACAAGATTTTAAACAGTTGAAAAAAAATCTTTATTTACATGTGATACACTTCAATATCAAATATTAGAATTAATTTTTATGCCAGTTTGTCAATATTTTTCTAAGTAACAACACAATACTTTCAAAACATCATTTCTTAAAGCCTAACCTATATTTGATAGCACAAATTGCTGAACACTAAGAATAATACCAGGCTACAATTTACAGCATGATCCTACTCATTCTACTTTGAACTTTAACCCACAGCTAACATAGAATAAAGCAAACCTTAATGGAGCAAGAGTCATGCCTAACAAAAAGTATGTTAGTGTTTTACTGTTAATGGATTTCAATTGAATAGCTAAAAAACAGATTGCATCTGATGACATTAAACACTAACCTACACCAAGTAAGTCATTGATGCATCCATAGTTTCTGAGGCAAAAGAAGCCAAATGCAAATATAAGAATAACTAATGATAAAATGATAAAAAAAAAAAAAGATAAGTTAAGGACTAGATCTACAAACAGGCAATTTCACTGTAAAACGATGTGAAGTGTAAACAATACTGTATCAATAAGATGTATAATGAGGTGTCAGACACACGAGTCCATCATAACCTTCCATGACATAAAAATTTTCTATAAATATTAGAAACCATAACAGTGATTACATCTATACAAAGTGGTCTATACACTTTTGAGGGGAAAATGTGTACAGATATTGGAATATTTCATTTATTCTGGTGGTGTTGTAGCATAAAATATATATATATATACTAAATGACCATTGATCTGAGCAATAACACAAGTACTTTACATAACCATAAATTTTTGAAAATACAAGTGATTGATTATTTTAGAAAAAGCATACACAATGATTTCTGCAAGAAAAGTGCACATACATGTAGTGCCAGACTGTTAATTATTGATTATCAATATCCTTCAGTAAGCTATACTTGGCACATTAGGAGGGGGGGGGGGGGGAGAAATCTCAAACACATGAACAAATGCAAAGTATATGAGTATCCTCTTCCTTTTTTTCCATAAAAAAACAATTAGTATTACATAAGTTGAGAATTAAGTAACTTAAGTATTTCAATAGTAAAGTATTAGATTATCTATACACATTTTGCTAAAGCATGAGATAAGAACAGACAAATTTGAATGTACATAGAGCAAGACCTAAGCAACATGTAAATATGATAACAGTATCACAAGCATTGGAAACAACATTGGGACCGTGCACACCAAAGAATTCAAACAAAAACAGACAATATTATTTAAGTGTCTTTTTTTTTTTTTAAAAAAAAGCCGAAGTTGATAGCTGACATTTTCTCCAAAAGTTAAAATGTTAACAATATATTTTTAAACAATTTTACTAGTAATTTAAACAAGGAAAGCCATGCTTTAAAAAATAGAAATGAATCTTTTTTTTTTTATTAAATGATTGCTATTTCCATCTACAATAGTTAAAAGAAATGTCAAGGTTTTGACAAAGCATTGAGAACCAGTGAAAGCACCCTACTAAGAGTAAAAGAGCTACTTCTATAATCTCAAAAAGAGCATTCAGTGCTTCATCAAACATAAGTCTGTTCAAAACAAATTGTGATTATAAACTTCTTCAAGGGTTTTTGTATGAAATACTGGCTGGCTTAGGACATCCCTTAGACAAAAAGAGCTTTTTTATATTATAATGCATCTACTGTCTGGTATTTGAGGTGTTAATTTCATTCTCTTATTTTAATGCATAACGATTGTAACATTTTTAAATAGATCAATTCATATGCCCAATTTTTTTTTTAAATATGGGGAGTTTCTAATGGAGTCTATGATGTATCCAGTGGACACAATATGGAAGTATTGATAAGCTATGCATTTTAAATGCTTATAATTTTTTTTTTGTACTTTTAATCTTCCAATTTCTACGCACTGCCACTTTGTAGTGCAAGTCATTGTTAGTCAGCAACAGTGATCTTTCACTAGAGCCTCCTAGACAGTTTGGTCTATTTCAACATCTCTTCATTTTTTTAAAATGTTTCTCTGTCTACTCATATCTCTAATTCACTTTCTCTTATTTTTCGTAATAAAGAGATTGCAACAATTATAGGGGTATCTCTCTCCTCAACATTGTTGGCAAAATATTCTCTAGAGTGGCACTGTCCAGGCTGCAAGTGATAATTTCTAGAGTTTATTCTAAGTCACAATGTTGATTCACAGAAGTGGTAAATCCAATGTAGATATAATATCCTAAGAATGCTGCAGGAGAAATTCAGACAGAGTTTGACGAAAGCTTTTGACACGGTTAGCACAAGTGGCATGTTAGAATTCTTAAGAAAAATAGGATACCATCCCAAACTCCTAAGTTCATTCAATGTTTTCATGAGAAAACAAAAAAGGTACAGTGAAATTTCATGGAGCTCTATCAGCATCTTTCGAGGTCAGTAGTGGTGAAAAACAGGGATGTGTGCTTACACCTACTCTGTTTGGTACATTCTTTTCCTGCCTACTGCAATATCTTTATAACGACTTCAATGAAGCTTCAGACTCTGGTTGATAGATTGCCTGCTGAATGCCAGAAGTTTGGAATAAATATTAGTCAAAGCAAGACCAAAATACTAGTTCAGAACACAAGCACTAAACCTCACATAACTATTAATGGCCAACCGCTGGAAATTGTTGACTATTTTGTAAACTTGGCTTCATCAGTGTTGTGCTACTAGATAAGACATCAACAACAGAACAGAAAAGGCAATGTGCACCATGTCACTACGCAACAGAAAAGAGTGTGCGATAATACCTTGCTGACTACCAATACCAAAGTCTTAGTTAATCGGACCTCTGCTATATGGTAGTGAAACATAGGAAAAAAGCAGAATATCTCCTACCTCTGATGCTTAAGGCAGATTCTTGAAATGAGGTGGCAAGATAAAATAACAAAGAGAAATTACATTGAAGAGCAGGGTGCTAGGACATCCATGCTGTTATCACTAGTAGATGCCTTGACTGACTTGGACATGTTCACAGAATGCCACAAGGTAGACACCCACAAGAAATTATGTATGGTGATCTAATAGAAGGCAGAAGAGTTGCAGGTCGCCCACTTTTAAGGTACACTGGTGTATGCTAGGGCGACATGGAGCTCTTCTAAATGAACACAACAGTTTGGAGCAAGAGGCAATGGATAGATCCACATGGAGAACAAGCATAAAGGAAAGCTCCTGCAGTTTTATCCCAAGAATGGCATCTTTAGTCACATGAGAAGTTGCAAAGGTATAAGATTGTCTGAGATGTAAAATGCAGACAGATTTTTATTTTTTACTTTAAAGACTGTAAGCTGGATCTTAAAAATCAAAATTTAAATAACAAGCAGATTAATGTGATCATCTCTATAATGCAAATCCCCTATTTTTTTACAAAATATTCTTAGTTATAATGCTTGTGAATAAACTAATAGATGACATTTAAAACAAAAAAAAAAAAAAAACTAACCTATAAACTTTAACAATTTTCTTTTGTTAGCTTTCAATATTCAACATGAAAGTCTAAAACTAAATACTAGGGTAATCAACTAGGGTTTCAAAATATGTCACTTTGATGATAGAAGAGAAGCCACCACTTTCAAACAACAAAAAAAATGAAATGATTTGTTTTTGCCAATTAATCATTAATTGTAGAGTTCAATCCTGAACAATGTAAGATATACTAAAGGAAAAAAAACATTGGTGAGGGGCCTGTACACCAAAAATGTAATTAAACAGATGTTTACACAAATGTGTTGATAACTACACGATATATACATTGTGCAGATCCCATATGCATCAATAAATACAATTTCAAAAGCTAGAAAAAATAGGTGGGTAAAGTTAAACATAATTAGGACAAGTCAAAAGAAAATGACCATACAGACATATTGAAAGTTATTCTCATATTATAAAAAATTACAACTGGAACTCAAATAAACTAGAATATGAATGTTTGTTGGTTCCATAAAAAAAAAAAAAAGAATGACTACATTTATTTTTTTGTATATATCAAATTATTTGAAGTATAAAAAAAAAAGCATTTGAAAATCAAAATTGTTTAAACAAAACAACAAAAAATGGAACAAGATTTAAACTTGTGTATGTGTCAGTCAAATGATTTGGGCATGAAAGGGTAAAGAGATGAGTTGTGTGAATTAAAACAAACTACAAGATCTAAGACAAGCAGCTGCAAACTAAAAGTGCCTAAATTTGGAAGACTGTAGGACACAGCAAGCAGGTGAAACAGAGCAACATGAGGATAGGACTGTAGTTTGATCCTTCAGTAGGAGCTTGTTGAATAACCTGCTGGGACACATTGAGGGGGGAGGGGCACAGAAGCAGCACTATAAAGCATCTGCCAAGCAATGGAAGACATACAATATATCATGTCAGTACATTAGTAGGTAACTATCATAACATTCAAGTGGGCTAAAAGAAATCCAATAAAATACTAAAAAAATACATAGAAATATATGACAAGGTTTAAAGTACATTTATTTTAGCGATACCTATCAATTTTAAAAGGTATCTTCTTTCTTACCTATCAAGAAGTTTAGGAATACAAATATGAAAATGTATATCCTGATTGGCTTATCCAGCTTTTCAAATCAATGTGCAACCAATTTTTTAATAAAACTACTTCTTCTAGACAGCTTTTCACTGTGAATAAGGCAAAAATAACTTAATTTTTTTTCTTTTCACTAAAAACAAAAAAAGCAAACACCAAAAATATAACACAAAGGCAGTGCAGTGTTTGTAGTATAAAATAAATCAGAGCTACAGATAGAACTAAAAATATTACTGAATGAATTACTATTTACTAGTTCAGTAATATTTGCAAATAGCCAAAACAGCATTGTAATCATGTTCACTGAGTGTTGAATCAGTTGCATATGTTAGAAACTACAATTCAAATATATATATAT